TAACACCTGAGGTTGTCGAGGTTACGATCTGGATGGCAATCTGACTGCTCACCTTGTGATCGTCTCAACGTGTCTTGGCATTGGAGGCAATGCACCCGCACATGGACGCAAGGACTTACAGGCGTCCTCTGGCCTTCAGATATGAAAATTTACGGGTCAAACAAGAGCCAGCTACGGCTGATAACCAATGAACTGTGAATGATTCCCCCAAAACAAAAGCACGCAAGTAAAAGCGCGGCTGAAACTTTTGCACGGGCATCTTGAGCCAAAATGTTGGCAGTAAATGACAAGGTGCTGACCCGAAGGGAAGGATACATTAAACATATGAAAGAATGGGCATGGTGAACCTTCATTTTCAAGCTATATATAAAATATATTAAATATAATATATACATATATCTATATATGATTTAAAAAAATAATCTAATATATATATATATATCGAAAAACAAATTGATATATAAATATAATATTGAACATATACAATTTGAAATAAATATAAATATAAATATATATATATATATTTATTTATTTATCTTTAATACATAATATACAACAGATATAATATATATATATGTGGAATTTATGTATATATAAAAAAATAGTGAATGTATAACAAAAAAATATTTATATATGATAAATAAAATATCTATATACATATTATATGTAACATTTAAAAATGTAAAATAAATATAAACATATATTCTATATATTCTTGAAAAATGTACTATACATTTATATATCATTGACAGAATCATTGAATTTTAAACATCCTCCAAATTCCTTCAAATTCCTTTAAAAATCCTTAAGCTTCCTTAAAATTCCTTTAAGATTCCTTAAAACTCACTAAATTCCTGAAGTTTCTCTACAATTCCTTTAAAATTCCTTTAAAATTCCTTAACGTTCCTTAAAATTCCTTAGAATTCCTTCAAATTCCTTAAAAGTTGCCGTCTAAAATGATATGCCCAATAAAATCGATATAAAGAGATCCTGGAAAAGCACTGGTTCCATTCTGCAATAAAATGCTCCAAACACTGATTTTTTTGCAATAAAATTAGAATGGAATTTTATCAAGATTTCCCTGTCCAATAAAATGCTCAGACCAACCCCTTAACAACAAAATGACTAACCTGACTCCAATTTTGAAATTCCAACACATTACAGATCTCGCTTAGGCTACGCACAAGTCATCCATTTCTAGTGTGAAAATTGCCACGGGGATGTTTATGCTTCTTTTCAGTTCTTTACTTCTTCCGACGTTCTATCTTCCTTTCACTTTACTTTACTTTATTTCAATGCATTTCATTTCCTTCCACTTTCCTTTCATGCGCGTTACTTCCATGTCCTTCCATTATCTGTTCATATCCTTTCATTGTCCCTGCATGTCATGTCCAAAATCCTCACAGATAGAATATTCGGAATGCCTGGCCGTGGTCACCATGGTGGTCACACTTTATATGCGTGAATAGTGAAAACAACACAAATACACACATACAAAAGCATTTCCTTTAGTGTTCGTGCCATTTCCCTTTCATTTCTGTTCACATTCCTTTCATGTGTTTCTATTTTCCTGTCAGTTTCCTTTCACTTCCGTCCATGTTCCTTCCATTTCCATCAATCATATCTTTGTTTTATGTTCATCTTATTTAATTATCCTCCTTTTCTTTTGTTCTTTCATGTCCTTCTGATGTTCCTCTGATTTCCCTTTCCGTTCGTTTCATTTTCTTTCTGATCTTCCTTTCATGTCCCTTTCACTTTACTCTCTTGTCACTTCAGTTTCCTTCCCTTTTTCCTTCAAGTCATTCCATTTTTCTTGTATGTCCTATCATTTTTTTAAAAAATACCGAATGTCCGCGCATGTTCGTTTCATATTCTTTTCATAGTCCTTGATTCTTTATTTTCTTCCATGCCGGTTTATGCTTCTTTTGAGTTCTTTATTTCTTCCGATGTTCTGCTATCTTCCTTTCATTTTACATTACTTTATTTTCGTTTATTTCATTTACTTCCACTTTCTTTTCATGTGCGTTACTTCCATGTCCTTCCATTATCTGTTCATATCCTTTCATTGTCCCTCCATGCCATGTCCAAATCCTCACATATAGAATATTCGGAATGCATGACCTTGGTCACCATGGTGGTCACACTTTATATGTGTGAATATTGGAGAAACAAAGCAAATACACACACATACAAAAGCATTTCCTTTCGTGTTCGTGCCATTTCCCTTTCATTCCTGTTCACATTCCTTTCATGTGTTTCTATTTTCCTGCCAGTTTCCTTTCACTTCCTTCCATGTTCCTTCCACTTTCGTCAATCATATCTTCGTTTTACGTTCACCTTATTTAATTTATCTCCTTTCCCTTTGTTCTTTCATGTCCTTCTGATTTTCCTGTGATTTCCCTTTCCGTTCGTCTCATTTTCCTTCTGATCTTCCTTTCATGTCCCTTTCATTTTACTCTCTTGTCACTTCAGTTTCCTTCCCTTTTTCCTTCAAGTCATTCCATTTTTCTTGCATGTCCTATCATTTTTTAAAAAATATCGAATGTCCGCGCATGTTCGTTTTAAATGATGTCCATGATCCTTGGTTGTTTTCATGATCTTCCATGCCCGTTCAAGCTTCTTTTCAGTTCTTTACTTCTTCCAACGTTCTTCTATCTTCCTGTGACTTTACTTTTCTTTATTTCAATGCATTTCATTTCCTTCCACTTTCCTTTCATGCGCGTTACTTCCATGTCCTTCCATTATCTGTTCATATCCTTTTATTGTCCCTGCATGTCATGTCCAAAATCCTCACAGATAGAATATTCGGAATGCCTGGCCGTGGTCACCATGGTGGTCACACTTTATATGTGTGAATATTGAAAACAACACAAATACACACATACAAAAACATTTCCTTTCGTGTTCGTGCCATTTCCCTTTCATTTCTGTTCACATTCCTTTCATGCGTTTTTATTTTCCTGTCAGTTTCCCTTCACTTCCTTCCATGTTCCTTCCATTTCCGTCAATGAAATCTTTGTTTTACGTTCACCTCATTTAATTTCCCTCCTTTCCTTTTGTTCTTTCATGTCCTTCTGATTTTCCTGTGATTTCCCTTTCCGTTCGTTTCATTTTCTTTCTGATCTTCCTTTCATGTCCCTTTCACTTTACTCTCTTGTCACTTCAGTTTCCTTCCCTTTTTCCTTCAGGTCATTCCATTTTTCTTGTATGTCCTATCATTTTTTTAAAAATACCGAATGTCCGCGCATGTTCGTTTCATATTCTTTTCATAGTCCTTGATTCTTTATTTTCTTCCATGCCCGTTTATGCTTCTTTTGAGTTCTTTATTTCTTCCGATGTTCTGCTATCTTCCTTTCATTTTACATTACTTTATGTTCGTTTATGTCATTTACTTCCACTTTCTTTTCATGTGCGTTACTTCCATGTCCTTCCATTATCTGTTCATATCCTTTCATTGTCCCTCCATGCCATGCACAAAATCTCACAGACCTTTCCTTTTGTTCTTTCATGTCCTTCTGATTTTCCTGTGATTTCCCTTTCCGTTCGTCTCATTTTCTTTCTGATCTTCCTTTCATGTCCCTTTCATTTTACTCTCTTGTCACTTCAGTTTCCTTCCCTTTTTCCTTCAAGTCATTCCATTTTTCTTGTATGTCCTATCATTTGAAAAAATAATACATATCAAATTTCCGCGCATATTCGTTTCAAATTATGTTCATGGTCCTTGCTTCTTTTCATGATTTTCCATGCCCTTTTATGCTTCTTTTCAGTTCTTTACTTCTTATCACGTTCTATCTTTTCGTGGACGACCGACACAACAAATGTGCAGGGTAACTTTTGAATATTCTCTCTGTGAGATTTATTGGAAAAAAACAGGGGTTGGTAATGTTTGGCATGTCTTAATTTGAACGTCTTAATTTGGCATGTCTTAATGTTTGGTAAATGCATGAATAAGGATATATACATGTCCATATATAGCTTCATGGCTGAATCGATCTACATATCCTAGATATATCATCCTGTGACTGATGTTACAGTTGCTACATTGTCAACCTCGCTTTTGATAGGTATGGTGCAACATTCATGACATAATTGTACCCTCAGTGGAAGCACTTTACATAGGCATTGTGGCTATATATGGCTATATCTATACACACACACACACTTTTTTGAAGCACTTTGCATAGGTACGCTGTGTTGATTTACCTGCTCCGTTGAATATTCTATCTGTCTCTGGATGGTATAGCGTATTCTATCTGTGAGGATTTGGCTTTAGTTCAATTTTTTTAATATTCTATCTGGTAGAAATTGACTATAAAATATAATATATACTACAAAGAAAAATATACATATCAAAGTAAAAAATAGCCAACCTATATAATATAGTATAAATATAATACATAAACTATGGAGAATATTGATGATATATATATATATACATATCACATAGTTAATTAAAAAATAAAATGTAATATCAAAAAATAGATTCTAATTGATGTAAAAATATAATATCTAATATATATATATATATAATCGTGTAAATATATAGCATGGTGTTGTTTTTGCGTGTCAAAATGACTTGTGATTCAGTAGGGATGGTGAGCAGCTTGCAGTGTGGCAATCAGGAATAGTGGCGTGTTCCCCAAGGCAACAAGGGCGGTAGGGGGGTCCGAAAGAAAATCCCACCTTCGGCGCACATCACTTCATGTTCCACAAATTATGCCAATATTTTTAACGAATGAGTGTATCTATTTGTGTTTGCATGATATGCATGTGGGTTCGCGGGTTGGATCAAGCTTTTTGATGATGCACTTGTACCAATTCCTGAAGATGTACATACGCATTTCCAGTGTATGTAAATATATATATATAATATGTGGCATGGTCATCCATCTCATATGGGACTCCCGGACTAATGGTTGCATCTTGTTACAATATCTAATGACATTTGATGACCATCCATGGACATCCCCCAACATCAGCAAGTCATTTGGCCAGGTTTCGTGTCTTGATCTTATCTCGAGTCACCTTGCGAGGACGCGGCTGGCCTGGGCGGTGCATCTTCCAGGGGATCTGAACAGTGCTACTCTGATTTATGGCAAAACATGACATTGGTGCCCCTCAATCCATTGTTCGATCATCCTTTGCCCAAAACTGACAGAAATGAGAATTCGGACAAAACCATTATATAATTCACCGTTTTCAAGCACACCCATGTGATGTTGTTCGTGATATCTCCCATTCATACCCCAGTAATTCATTATATAATTATCTCACTAGCTCCGCAAAAAACTCATTGAAGTGCTTGGTATGCCCGCAGCCACCTGAGGTGACCTGAACTCATGGCTGCCAAGACGCTGATTTTGGGGTGCTCCAAGTGACCTTGGTTCGACTGCCGAGCCGAGAGACATGGCCAATCTTAGATGGGTCCCTGCCAAAATTACGGAGACGTTGAAAAAAATGAACAGGTTTGCTGGTTAGAAGTCAACATTTGTATCATGAAACATGAAAGCGACCTAACCAAGGTTTACAATGTTTACACAAATACATACAAATACCAGGAGGTTCAGAACAAACCAAAATCCTGATGGTGGTTAGTAACCACCCCTTTTCATGAGCATAATAAGGCTCTATTGCTGAGAAACCTGAAGCTCCAGGTTTTCTTGTGACAATTGTCGCTAGAGCAACCTCCACATTGATTCACCAGCCTTGCTAGCTTATTTCCCGGCTGATTCAACCATCTATGGTCTATTTACGTGCATGAATGGGTCATTTTGGGGCAATGATATACCATAAATATCCCCCTTGAAATTCACCAAGGGGTCAGCCCCCGCTTCTTGTAACTATAAACCGCGGGGACTTGCAAAAAGCCTGCAAAATGAATGGGTGCAAGTAAACATTTCTCCACACAAAATGGGAGGGCTTTGTGCAACAACTAGCCCTTTGCAGCACCCACATTTTGTAGGGAGACCGTATATTTTGCCCGGATGTTTGATTTCTATCTTTTTCTGAGTATGAGTCTTGCTTGCAGCTTCGACCCTGATCCCCAAAAAAGCATCATTTTGTAAAGAACCGGTTGCTCTGCCATTTCCCGGCGTTTTTCTCAATTGTCTTTAAGGAGCAACCCATCCTTTTTGTAAGGAAATGGGCTCAATGCTATTTGCAGCCTGTCTTTTTTACCATGCTGACAAAAAGTGAAGCGTTCATACCCCTTCTATCCCTTCTTCTTTTGCCCAAGAGTTGTGTTGAAAAGCCAGGCTGACACGGACAAGTGGCATGGCGTTGCATTTTGAAATCTTCGTAATTAGTTGCATAAATGCTGCTTGGCATGCAACGCCTTGGTGAAAGCAGCAGCAGAGTTGCAACTACTAAGATCTCAAAATGCAACGCCATGTCACTTGTCCGTGTGAGCCTGGGTTTTCAGCACAACTCTTGTATGAACGCTTCACTTTGTGTCTACATTGTAAAAAGACAGGCCGCAAAAATAACTGAGCCCATTTCCTTACAAATGAGTTGCTCCTTAAAGACAATTTTGGGCTGAGTCTTAAAATGCAGGGAAGTGGCAGAGCAGCACCTGAACAAAACCGTGCCATTTTGTATGGAGAAATCTTTACTTGTCCATCCCCCTTGAAATTCATCCTAAGGGGTCAAGGCCCACTTCTTATAGCTATAAAACCGCAGGCCCGTGCAAAATGCCTATAGACTGCATGGGTCCCCAAATTCGCGTGTCTGACCACCGAACAGCTGCGAAGATGGTCAGAAATATTCTACCTTAACATAACCTCTCCGAGAGCACCTGCAGAATGATATATGGCGTAAACATAACCCTGGAGGGTTGCAAACACAAAATCCGGTGGATACATGCACCTACAGTAGCTCTCTCTGTAGGGTTATGTTAAATGCAGTTTTGCGTTTTTTTCCTCGAAAATGGTTTAACATAAACCCTGTGCAACATTGGAAAAAATACGAAGTTGGTTCCTACCAAATTTTGTTTTTTTTCGAGCCACAGGGTCCAGGAAAGCAAGAAAGGCTCATATTCGGAATAAAAGAGAAATCAGAAATGTGGGCCAAGTATGGATATTTTTTTACTTGCCCCTACTCATTCTGTAGGCTTTTGGCGTATCTCCGGGAAAAATGCTACTAATTCGGAATAAGCTTGGCTTTCCAACACAATTCTTGGGCAAAAAGATGCAGGTTGCCTCGCCTATGGTCATTCTACACATTAAGCTATTGAAACATTTTCCCATACAAAATGGCAGGGACTCAGGTTCCAGTTCCATGTGTTCCTCCAACTGCTGCGCGCCTGCTCACATGGACTTTCGTGATTTATCAATCTGCCATGAAAACCCTTGCATTTTGCAACCCAGCCATCTATTTCCCAGGTTTCACTTCCCGTTTTGGTCGACACAGCTTCCCGTACTCATCGCTGTATCGATCTTTGGTCCTACGCCACCCTACATTGTTGAGCCTGGGTATGACAGGTGCAAAGCCACTAAGTTTCAAGAGCAAGTCGTCACAGATTTGTAAGGCGCCTCGAAAACCGAACAAATTCCAAAATGGAACTGCCCATGGGCCCAAATAGAAATTGGGGAGAGCCGGAAACGTACTTAAGGTCTGAATAAGCAAATGCAACAGCCAAAATCTATGCAGAATTGGGCGCGCAGCTCGTTTCCCAAGAATAGCAACAACTGCCTACAAAATGACCACTAAAATCAACAAAGGGATTCCTTACAAAATGAATGGCCCCAACCCAGCCAAGTTTTCAAATTGGATTTTGACATGTCTATATGATAGTGATTTTCTGCCTAAATTATGTACTTTATTGCTCTTACAATATGGAAAGGTGCAGGCAGGCTGGGATCTGGAAAGTGATTTCCTACAAAATGACCCTAGAAATCAGGCTTATATGGGCCTTGAGACCGGCCATGTCATGGGGGAAATTTCAACGGGGATCCATACATAAATTCAGTGCCTAACTTGGCGTCCTTCCCTTGCAACATGGAAGGCCGGCTCGGCACAAGGCACAGTATGCACACATGCGTCCGTGGCGACAGCCCTGTGCAGAGTTAAAGAATACGCACGGATTACCTTGGATTTGACGACCAAGAAAGGAGCTGGCAAGACAAAAACACACGGGACCCAACCAAACATAGCAATGTTTGCAAAATCCGAACCCAATACAAAGGTAGACGCGTTATTGTACATTACACATTTATACATGTTGTATACTTGTAAATATATATATATATACACAGTTATATAGATATATAATTATAATTCAAAAAGTAAATAAATATCATTATATATATATATATACGCACAATATATATATATATATATATATATGTGTGTGTGTATATGCATATGCATATGTATACATGTATATAATTATATATATAGCGCATGTATGTACATGTACCCCATGTGCCCCGACTTTCTAATAAGACTTTTGAAGCGGGTAGATAGTGGGTAGATGTTTCCCTTCGCGGTCCATTTCGGGAAGACAAACAGCAAAAAACAGCGAAACCCTGCTAAAGCAAGTCTTGATTGACATTTGCCATCCCCATGGTCCTTGCAACCGGCCGATGGCGAGATGGAAGCATACACTCCGTGATTTTAAAGTTAAATGGCAGCAAATGCACAGTGTAAGAAAGTATAAGTACTGTTAAGTACTATTCTACTATTCAATTTGCATTGCGTTTTTTTGTTTCCACTGTTTCAAGCCTTGTCGAAGACTGACCCCTTATCATCTCTCATTGCGGTTGTTATTTGGGCAGGTGAGATCCCTGTGGAGAAAATGCGCAAGACGCCGCACACTTTCAAAAAGCGAAACTTCTAAACCGGTGGTTGATTGGTGGTTTAAGTAACTTTTCTGGTAACTTTCAATGTTTTTTTTCGTTGGTGGTTTGTTGTTTCCCTACTTAGTTACTTTAATCTTAGCTGGATAATCTACCCAATCAATCTCAAAAAAAGATGTATAAATTAAAATTAAGCCAACATCATTGAAGTGAACGGCTTCCAGCAGTAGCATAGGCATAGTGATCAACGTACACAGTCAAATCCCATGGTGTAAAAGCTATTAAAAGCCAATGGTCCATATGACTTAATGGTTTTGTTGGGAGGTATTATATATGCCCCATTCTCAGACACAATCACATATCACATGATTGATTTGTTTGATTGTTTCCCACTAACGTCCATTGACATATCCGTATGTTCGTCTCGTGTGTGTGTGTGTGTGTCCACAAAGTGGCCCCCCCCCAAACGATAGCTACTGCAAGTTGGTTAAGTTCACGAGCTGAATTTTATGGTTTAGGGTGCGTATAGAAATGTGTGCATATATATATAATATATATATGTATATTATATATATATATATATCTGTGCGTTTGCGCGTATGTAGAACTATAGTTGTTGGGCTCTATAAACCATCAAACATAAGGCCTGGGGGCACCACCATGTAAAAAATGATGGAAACTATGGAAAGTCATCATTGGTAAAGCGTCTGTAAATGGGCCATCTATACCATAGCTGTGTGACTTCTGGTCAGCTTCCCCCGGCCCAAAAAACGCGCTCCTGTAACGCTGCCAGCAATGCTGCAGTCAATGGTCGCCCTGCGGATGTTTTTTTAATCCGTTCAGGGATGGGAAGCGCCCCTGGAAATCAGGGACTCCCGATCCTGCATCAGGATTTAAAACACTTTTATGGGGATATCATGTGGGATACATGCGGGTATTTGGAAATAGGCTACAGCTTTGTCAGGTAGAGATGTATATCGCCAAGAAAAATCATGCCATCGGTGTGCATCCTCTCAGTAGATCCCAGATGTATCCTACGTATCCCCCAAGCGACAAAAAAGTTCTTTCAGCGGCCTCTCTTCCATGATCTTCAAGCTTTAAGCAGTTTCCATTTTGTTTGGGGCTGCTCAACAATCCAACATTGGTCGATGATTAGTCTGGGGATATCCGGGGATTATATGGTTATGGGTCAAGACCTTGGCACCCCAACCTAAAATAGCTCGTTCATGGCTGCTTATTTTTCCAAATATGGCAATTTAAGAGGTGTCGACGCATCCCCATGTTGACCAATATGGAGGTTTCCTAAAATAGGGGTACCCCTAAATCAGACATTTTTCAAAACGGATTTTCCATGAACTAAACCATCCAGCTATTGGGGATCCCATAGTCATGGGAAGATATGGGGATCATCCTCCCACCTGCGCCCACAGGAACGAAGGTCGCTTCGATCTGCTGGCTCTGGGCCGGTGCCGTTTCATGACCTCAAAAATGTGGAGGTGACTTTTATGAGGAAAACCATGGGGAAATAACTGCGACAACTTGGGATATGGGGCCCCTACATCTATGGTTACACCTAGAACCTCAAGCGGGCCATAATTTCAGCCTGAGACAGAATTTTAGGCTGAATCGGGTTTCGGTTTTTAGCAATTTCGGATGGGAAAACCATAGACATAAAAAAACTCAATGAAACATTTCAAAACGGAAAATGGTTGTGTAAAATGATTCACTTGGATATATTTCATTAGCGTCAACCCCACTTGTTCACAGCCCCAAAAGTCAACAAAACTGATTCGGGCAGAAAAAACACCTGCAGGCTGAAAGCCCTGCCCGGGCTGAAATATTAGAAGGCTGAACAGCTTCAGGCTGAAAAAGAGTCCTGCGCAAGGATACGGGTGTATATAATAGTAAACCCCGCCCAAATACTAAAAACTAGTGTCCATCTCGTATTTTTGAAAATTTCAAATTGGCCAATTTGACTTTTACTTTTAATTGATCCCCTTTAGAAAATAAATTAAAAATCAAGCTACCATTTGTGGGTATTCCCCCCTAATACTAAAAACTAGTCAACCCCGGGGTGTTTATTATTAGGGTCCGTCCGATTTTTTTAATTTTTTATATTAAGGTTATTAATTCAGTATTAGGGGCAAGCTTGGAAATCCAATTTTTGCCAATATTAAATCCAAATTTTGGCAATATTTTAATCGCGTTATTTAAAGAAATTTAACTGATTTTGAGATCGGAAAAAATAGTTTTTATTATTAAGGGTTTTAGTTTAATATTAGGGGGAAGCTTCTAAATCTAATTTTTGGCAATATTTCAATCGCATTATTTAAAGAAATTTAATTGATTTTGAGATTGGAAAAAATAGTTTTTATTGTTACGGGTTTAATTTTATTAATAGGGTTCCCTAGTAATAAATACCCCCCTAATACTAAAAACTACCTGCCGTGTTTAGTAATGGGGGGTGCGTTTAATTTTAGGAGGAAGGGATTATATAATTTATAATTTTAATATTTAAAATTTCATTTATTTATATTTATATTTAGCCACTTAGAACTGGAACTGCACGTCCAAGTACCAATAAAAAGCCAAGTGTCGTGGGGATTTCATGGGGGTTGCTAATGGAATCATGTGTTGGTGATTTTTTTCATGCCAATCATGAACTAATAATATCCGATTAATATATACCCGTGGGGATTGATGCACTTGGACATCAAGAATTCATGCGTGTTTTGTTTGGTGATGGGAGACAATTGTGGTGTGTGCATGTCGAATTAATTACTGAATTTCATCGGAATCTTCGGGATTCAGGCACAGCTCCAAGTACAGTAATCATGCATTCCTGGAATGGTTCGCCTTTAGAAGGGCTGAATCCTCAAACTTGGATACCATCTGGGTAACAAACATTCACCAGCCTGAAATGTTTGGTCATTTGGGAGCCCCCAAGTCTAACCACCAATGCGAGCGACATGCTAGTGAGCATCCAGTAAAATCACCCTAAACAGCCAACCGCAGGGGTGTCTTGTTGCTGAAGATCCCGTTTTGATTGTTCACACCCCTGTAGCCATCAGACACTCGGATCAACATGCATAACTGCATAAATGAAGGAAATTCATTTCACGTATGAAATCTGGACAAACTGTAGGAATTCAACAACCTTATGAATACGGCCATTTCCGGATGATTCCCCCAATCCTAGCCATGAAGTACGGTGACGTCGCAAGTGAGGCCGTTATTTAATTTACCCAGATTGAATAATTACTAACTCATTGGCTTGCTTGAAGATAGGGCACCGCAAAAGACTCCAATGTGGGTTTCCACATTTTGGGACTTGCCCAAATCATCTCGCTGTTGAAATTACAAGCTATATATAGCTATATATATATATATATCCCCATTATCGCTGCTTCATACCCCCTTAGTGCTGCTTATTCTCCACGATTTGGAGATTGGGAATGCATCCCAAGCAGTGGCTGGTCTCCTAGGAGTTTGATGGTCTACATGGGGTTATTTGCCCCACTTACCATTCCTGGGTCCCGCAAGTGAACAGTGTTCAAACCCGTCATTTCATGAACTATTCGTTATATATATATATATAATTTATATAATGGATCCGGTAGGTGAATAACACCCGGAGCACAATGATCAACCCGTCCCACGTTGAAGCTTAACTTTCAGCATTAAAACAATTAATGCTAAGTTGAACTTGGCATTTGCTATTAAATAGTACTGATTAAATACTAAGTTTAACCATGGTCTTGTTTTTTGCCGGAAATGTGTGTTCTGGGCTCTGGGATTGGTTTCTCTGGGCCGAAGTACTGTGCAGGATCGGTCAGCTGGGATAGACTTAGCTCTTCACGTGTAAACTTAGCATGGGTAAACTTAGTATTTCACGGATATGTCACGCAACTTCACGGGCACTTCACGATAACATTTTTGGGGGGCACCGTCTAGGATCGATGTAGGTTCAATCTAGGATCGAAGTATGTCAGCTCTTCCGCCCGATACACTGCTTCGCATGAATATTGACAAGTCAATGGGATTCGGGCTGCAGAAATATGCAGGAATCAAAGACATGAACCTAGCAATTGAATTGCCATCCGGACTGCAGCCTCTCCCGAGGGCACAAGGGCAAAAAACACCCTATAGAGGTGGAAAAAAAAAAAAAACTATGCGCATGGGGGGATGTGCAGCGGTGGCCCTTCAGGCAAAAAGGGATGGCAAAAGAAAAACAACCACA